TTTTTTTTTTAAAAAAAAAAAAAAAAAAAAAAAGAATATACAAAATATATTGTTGTATAAATTATGAATAATTTATTTGAGAATTATTTTCATATATTTATACAAAATTTTAGAAAAAATAACGAATAAATCTAATAAATTCTCGAAGGATTCTTCAAATAAATTGATTCTCTTCGTTATTCTATCATAATATTTAAATGTTTGAATACTTCATTAAATTAGCTATATATATATATATATATAATTTTTTGTCATTTTTGTTAAATTTAAAATAAATTTTAAAATATTTTAATCTATTTTAAATAAATAACTCGAGCTTAGATTTATATGTAATATATTAAAATAACTTTAGCAATTTAAACATTACATTTTTAAATTAGAGATCAAATAAAAATAAATGTGAGATAATGAATGTTAGCGAGAACATTAGACCACAAGCATTTTTTATAAGGATGTAGAAACTTATTCGCAGACACGTTTTAAAAACGAAATCTAAAAAAAAAATCAAATAGAACAATATTTGTTACTAGTTTTATTTACGATAAAATTTAATATTCAAAGATAATAGTGTAATATTTTAAAATTTGGGATCAAATAAAAAATAAGGATTAAAATGGTTTTTTTTTAATATAAATAAAATTATTTAAAATACTGCACACGTGGAATTTAAGAACCATGGAATGATTTACCCAATAAAATATGAAATGATTTTCCATTGTCACGCGCACCAACAATGTTATAAGATACATTATTGGTGGAGCCAAATTGTAAATACTAATAATAATAAATAAATAAATACTACTTATTTTAAATTTTAGGTTAAATTATGAAATAGCTTTTGAATAAGTTTTAATTAAATCAATTGCATTTTAATATTTAAAATTCAAAATCCTTCCAATAAATAATTTTAATGATATAGAAATTAATTATATATATATAATGAAAGGGAAAATTACGAATATACCAGGGACATTTTGAAAAAATTAAAAATAAAGCCATAAGAGTTTATATTCAACATGAAGGCCCGATGATGTACTTTATTCGAGAGCTCTAGAGAAATGAGCCCTCAAATAAGGTATATAACTAATTTTTTACTAGAACCGTCAATACTCCGTTTCAAAATTACTCTTAAATTCAAATTAGTTTTTGGTTGTTGCCAGTTAAGAAGGTTCGTTAGGATTGAAGATGACATTCCTGAGCCGTTTTTTATATTTAGTGATCTATAATTCGGATTCTGATTCGATACATGTTAAGGGCAAAGTAGTCTTTTAATTATTATTATTATTATTTGCCCTTGAAAAAATGAAATGAAATTATGAAATGGGGTGGAAAATGGGGAAGCTCATGCACAACTCATTACACATCACAAACTAAGGTCCCACTAAACCCATCCAAAAGGGGTCCTTTGGAACAAAGTCAAATCCCAAACACTAATACCCATTGATTGAAATCCCATAATTTTGATCCTTTTTCTTTTCAAACTTGTCAACTCACCATTTTCATTAAGTCAACCACTTAGATTTTCGTTCATACTTAGTTTTTACGAAAATTTTCATTTGATAGGTCACTTAAATACAAAGTTGTATAATTAGCGTTAAGTTTAACGAACATTTCTAATTGGGTACTGGAAGCAAGTCTTGAATCTTCAAAATTCATAAATTTGTTTATTTGGATTTTACCATACCGTACATTCGATATTAGCTTATTTTTCAAAAAATAATGATGATTCGTAGCGGGTTTTAAATCAAGTAAAACTTTCACTTTATAGAAGGAAATCATCATAAGCTATCTAACGTATATGATGTACGAACATGCAAAAATTTGAAGTTTTTAGCTTTTAGGAGAAAAAATGAGCTCACTATTTGATTGGTTTCAGAGTAAGTGAGATGCTGTCGACAATACGTAACGAACTAAAGTGATACGATAAGGAATCACTACAAGGGGAGTAAGATTCGGATTACCTTGTCGATCGAATATCTCAAGGCAAGAACACTTGATTGAGATTCGAATCACTCCACAAGCAAGATCGATCATGTCTAGCTTGAATGATTCTTGTTGATCAAATATCTCAAACACTTGTTTGAGATTCGAATCACTCCACAAGCAAGATTGATCATGTCGAGCTTGAATGATTCTACATGCAATCTAAACTACATAGAATTGCAAAGAAACTTAGCCATCGGCTAAAGAAAAGCACAAATGCTTCTTTTGATATATCTTCTAAGTCTTATTACAAATACAACATAGATGGCTTTATATAGCCTCAAAATGAAAGCATTCTAAAAGTTGTAACATTCACACTTTATGGCCATAATTAGCCATTATGTAAATATAACCGAAATTAAATAAAAAGTCTTAAAACACAATAACTCTAAATTATAACCCACCCAAAATTTACAACAATCAAACTTTATTCTTCTTCAATGTAGCATGAATTGAAACATCTTTTGATAATTTTGACAACCTTTTCTTCACATCTTCATTGAAG